CCTTTTCCATTTGCTGATCTGCTTTTCTTTTGCTCTGGGGTCTTTTCGTGTGAGCTGCCCGTAGAAGTGCAGAATGGTGGCCTTGATGGAGTTGCCCTTGTTGAGAAACTTGAGGGCGTCTCGCTTGTCGCCGTAGGCCACGGCAACTCGTTTGTATTGCTTTCGGCGCTTACTGGAGCCTGTGATGCACGGTCGACCCATGCTTCCTTCCCGCGCTGAAGCTTAATGCGATACTGCTCTTTTAGAACCAATGGCGCGTAAAAATAACCGATCCCATATGAAAAGTACTGACCAATCGCAATGGCTAGATGTAGTTGTCGCCAACGACTAAACGTCGCCAAGGACTAAGACTATACGGTAGTTCAAACCAAACCAAAATTACCAGCAAACCAGGTTCATTACGGTTTCACGGTTTGGTTTGAAGTGGTTCGAACCAACCGAAAGCAAACCAAACCAAAACAAACCTCTAGCATCGGATTGGTCTAAATCAAGCGCTTGCTGACTACTCGCGTGCGAATGTCGCATAGCATTGTCAACTAGGTCGCCTTCGACTTGGCTGGAAACACCTACAACTAAAAGTGCTGCTACATATTGGTGTTGGTACTATAATAGTGCTAATTGCCGTGACGAGGACGTGCCCTTGCGGGACCACACCCATGAGTATCGCGTGTGCCGCAATTCACTTGCTGAAGCTGGCGCGTGGAGTTTGAATGGTGATATGCACTTCGCCGAGCTACTGACAACTGAAACTTTTCGTTGAGGCTGCTGAGTCGACAATCTGCTGGCTGGAGTACACAAAGCTTAAGCCAAGCCGAGTTACGCGTTAAGTCACGAAACTGATCTGCTGGGGCCACGCCCTCATTCTTTGGGTGTTCGCGGTTTAAGCGGATGTATGATCCACAGTATTAAAGTATTAAAGTGCACACAATGCAGAGGTAGTGTATGGCTGAGCGTGTTGAGTAGTCCGATTACTCAGATCAAAAATAATGAATTATCGCATTCGGGTTGGTAGTACAGGTCGTGCTTTTCAATACAACGTTTAAGACGTTTAGTGCGATTTGCCTTACTGTTTTCACGAGGGTGGGTGGCATCCTGGCGCGCGCTCCGTGCATTCGCCGCAAATACCTACCTGCCTAATCGGCGATTAGGCAGGGGCGTGTCTGCGCAAGCGAGTGGAATACGAGAAAGAGACAAAGAAAAACGAATTGTGTATTCCCTCAAGTGCAACGACGTTAGTGTATGTACGACCCAACGCCGATGTTATTGCCCGACACCAGCCATGTCGGCCTGTCGGGCGCGACTCATCCCCAGGTTCACTCAGGCCTTGTGAGGCATGCGGCTTTTTGCGAAAGATAGTTCATCTGTTTGACAGAGGATACTTGCACCGGGTCAGCTCCAGTCGGTGCAGCGTGGTGCACCGGGCCACACCGACTGGCCCGGTGCACGGTAAAAGAATAGGCTGACACTCTGTTTTTTGTCGAGAACATTTCCGTATGTTGGTTGGACGTTCCAACCAAGTTGGCAGCAAGTTGCTGCCAGCAACCAACCAACCGAGCGAGCACCAGCACGAGCATGGGCCAAGTGGCCAAGTCTGGTCAATTTGGCCACCGAGTTGGAGGACTTGATCGCCAAGTCCTTGGGTCTAAGTGTCCTCACAGTACCACTACATATCACTTCGGTTCGAGAGCAAGCGGCTGAGCTGCACTAAATGCAGTATTCTGTATGTTACTGTACCATTGCGTGTAGTCTGAAGTAGCTACAGTACTGACAAAAGTGCTTCGAGGCACTAAGCAACACACGCTGGATCTACTTTAATGTTTAGTGCCAACTACTTGTTACCACAACATGTTGCCTGCCGGGCTGCGCTTGGCTGGACGCCCCCGCGCCAAGCAGTCTAGCCAGCCGAGTACTGCACGAGGCGCTGGTAAGCTCGGTGCAGGGCCCCCCTCCGCAAATACCGCGTGCTTGTGTTGGCCCTGTGCGCACAACTCCCCCCCCCCCCCCAGCTAACACGCAAATGATACCATGATCTTAGCACACACGCACACCCTCTCCAAGTTAGCAGGGGCTTGCATTTCGACCTGCTTGCCTCCTTCTCGTCCTTTTCGTAAATAAAGGAGTTCCTTCACCGATTTTGGAGTGTTGAACGTCAAATCACCAGCTGTAGCTCTAAGCACATCTCAAGATCTCTTACTGGCTGCCCGGTGCAAGCAGCCACTATCCATCTGTTTTGACCGACCAGAAAGCCCGAAGTTCGAAGAACCAATGATTGATTACTCGGCGACGCAGGCGACGGGAATCTGTTTTTCCGGATCTTCGAGGGGAGATTTACCCGTACAAGAGGAGCGGTAGTTCGTGCCGACAACGACTAGGCGACAGGTAGAGGGGGCCTTCAGGCCTGCTCATCCTTAGATTTAGTCCCAAGCTAACCCTCCACGCCACTCCGAGATGATCCTTGGAAACAGAAGCGGCCACGAAACCAATCCGCCCAAAACCACCGCAGTTGGTTCGGAATTGCACGATCCCAGTAATAAACTAATAACCGACGGAAATATGGTTCAAAGGTCGCGCAGTTTTCACTCGAACCTTAAGTTCGCACTTTGGGTGGTTTGGTTTGTTTCAGGCGTGAGGAACCTACAGTACAGTGTCAACTTCCCAATATTAAGTTCTCTGCCCTAATAAGCGATCAGTACTGTTGTCCGGATCTCCAACTTCGATCATGGTGATTACGCGTAGTCGAGGATCACGAACTCACCTCACCCCTGGATATACGGCACTACTGTATGGCATACAATATTGCCGTCCCGTCCAGCAACTCGCAATGTGTAAACTAAACTCTCTGGACGCTCAGTTTCCAATTCCTCGCCTGCACAACAACTAGACCATGGGCCTGCTACCACCGCTGTTCATCATCCTTGCCGTGACAAGCTTCTGTTCAGCCGGGGCTGTCGCGATCGTCCACGACAAGGTGCAGCCATTTGCCCAACCCGCGCCGGTCACCATCTCCGAGAAGGTTGCCGTCAAGTTCAAGCCGAGTCTCGCCATTCGTGAAACGTGCCACCCGTACCCTGCCGTCAATGCCGCCGGCGAGACGAGCAGAGGGCTCAAAGGGGAGGGTAAACCCGAGAGTAAATGCAGGGGGTCGGAGCTGGGGTCGCAAGTGTACGGCCGAGCTACTTGGCACAAGGGCATGTGGGCCATCATGTACGCGTGGTACTTCCCCAAGGACAGCGTATCGAAATTTGGCCAACGACACAAATGGAATGCCGCGGTCGTGTGGCTGGACAACCCTGCAATTGTGAAGCCCGAGATACTCGCTGTATCTGCAATTGGTGTGAATGGGGTATACGACATCAGAACGATCAGCGGCCCACCACGTTGCTATAAGACACGAAGCTCGGAGTGGTGTGAACCAGCTCTTGTCGACTGTATCAACGGCACGACTCCTATGCTCAGATACATACCGGGTAAAATTGCTAGCGGCCTGATGACGACTACGAATAGGGGTCGTGGAGAATTCCAGGACCTCATTATGTGGGAGCAGTTGACTGAAGCAGCGCGGAGCGCTCTGACAGCGGCAGACTTTGGAGCTCCCTTTGTCGACGGAGCTTTTAAGTCGAACCTAGACTCCGCCCGTCCGTCCTTTTAGTTTTCACCCGCTGAATTCAAACGCCCAAGACTCAGAAGCCCGCACTGTCCAGGCCGAAGAAAATGGAAGAACGGAATACACTAAAAAGTGTGAGAAAGAAAAAATATTTTTCCGAGAAAAACTTGGTTTGTTCATTTTGATTCAGCCGCCTACAGGAATTAGAGAACTTTAGTTTCTCGAGCTACTTCAACTTTCGGAGCTGAAATGCGTTGCTCATAAAATAGACTCCTTGGAGTCTCAGGGGTACACCCGATAGCTCCACTGGAGTTAACTGCACCTTTCACTCTAATTAGTCGTGCGACTTTTATAATAATCTATATATATAAATTCGAGATCCGTCAGTGTGTCACGCTTCTTAGACCCTTTGGTTAACTAATAATGGATGCGGAGCCCCGCAAGCGTGTCTCTTTAAAACAGGTTTTCGCCGAGCACGTGAGACTGCCCTCGGCGGTGGCCTCTAGTGTAGAACACACAACATATGTGGTACACACAGGGGTCTCCATGCTCCGTGAAGGCTGGTACAGGAGAGTTTTGGTATAAACCCCTTCTTTTTATTTTTATTATTTTTCATATTAGCTACGGTCATCTCCTGCGCCGGCTTCGCAGCCGCCCCTTAAAACTGTAGGTACTAGTTATCAACCGGCAATGCTTTACAAAATTAAACACTGAACCTTGGCTGAGATCATTTTGCTGCTTGTAGCAATTTTCGACTTGAAAATGCAAATGATTATCTCTAGTGCTATTACAGTCCGCCTCAATCGTTCTCTTTACTTCAATTCGTTTATCGGTACCCTGCTCAGTATATGTACTGATTCAAATCAGTACCGTCGGTAGCACACCGGTTCGATCTGCCCACGCATATAAACCTTTTGGAGGGCCCAGTGCGGCACCGAAGTCGTAGAAATGTGCCAGTTAGATGTCAAGAGGGGTCATCGTTTGACTTGGATGTACCACGGATATAATCCGATTTGGTCTGCGATAGCAGCACCAACGTTGCTTCCTATCCCTTTATAATTCCACTATACCAAGGTTAGGATAAAACGTGCCACGAAGCTTCCCGTTCACTAATTAAACGGGGTACTGTAAGATCCGATAATGCCATCTGAAATATATATTTGATATCTATCCTCAGTACTTTAATTCGTAGCACTTTGACGACATCAGGGTTTGGTAGTAGTCAGCATAGTAGTAGCGATAGTAGTGATACTACTACTACTATAAAACTACTATAGTACTGGGTCTGGACTTGATAGTAATGATATATTTCATTTTCATGGTGAGGTATATTGTGTTCATTTAGAGCTAGGTACTAACGATCAACAATATCCGAAGCTAACATCCATACGCGTTGTTAGCTGTGATTGTGCCGTCTCTCCTGAGGATGACCAGTCCTATCAATTCGTTCCAGTAGCTGAGGCTTCCCAATTTGCCACTCACCGATATCACGATTCACGCTTTGAAGGGCGATGTCCCAGTGCCCGGGCGGCAGACCCCGCCCGGTGTCGGCCAGCTGCTTGCTCGCGTGTGTATACATCGCCATGCTGGCGAGGGCATCAGCAATTTTGTTGTAGGTGCGGTAGTGGTGTGTCCATGTCTCCACTCGACAGTAGTCGGCTAGCACCCGACAGTGCCAGTACAGTCTCGCAAGATGCGCAGCAAGAGGCGGTCGCCGTCCGTCCAATTGTTTGATGATCATCATGCTGTCGCCGACAACATGTAGCGGCTCCAGCCCACATTTGTTCGCGTATTTGAGGCCATGTAGGAGTCCACGATACTCAGCCGTATTGTTCGTAGTGCGTATATCTCCATACGCCATACTCGCAAACCATACGGGCACACCAGCTCTCGCACCAGGGTCAAGCCGAACAATTACAGACCCACTACCCCCTGGGCCTGGGTTTCCACGCGATCCCCCGTCAAAGAACAGCACATAGACCGTATCAGCCGCAACGACAGGAATGGGAAGTGGGTCATAGTTCGCGGCCAGCGCGTTCACAACTATCCGAGCAGCCCGGCGCTCTGCAGAAGAGCTGACATTCGTTGCGTAGGACGCATCGATGGTGAGGTAGCTCTGACGTAGCCGCACCCGTAACAGCGCACGGAATCGATGAGCGTGGGGCTTGGGATCTGGATTCAGATACTCGGATCGCCATTTCCAGATCCCCGAGCCGCCAGCACTTCGCTGCTGCGTTAGGGATAAACCGAGCGATGTCGTCCCTCATATCCTTCTGATACCAGCGAAACGCTTCACCCAGCCGATCAAAGAAGCCCTGGGGGATGATAGCCAGCTTAAAAAGATAAGATCATACGAGAATCGGTGATCTCCACTGAGTGAAGCGCGCGCCAAGACTTGATAAATTCCGTCCACAGACTCCTAGCCGCGGGGCACTCCCAAAAGACGTGAGTAAGCGAGATCTTGGAGTTCTGGCACTCCGCGTGGGGGCATCCAGGCTTGCCGGTATTGCGGACGAACAAGTTCAGGCCCCGCACTTTGAGCCGATATAATAGTCGCTCCCCCATGCGTTAAGTCCAACCACCTTGCGAATAGATCCCCACTCAAGCGCGCCAAGCGAGAGATGGAAGGCCGAGGATTCTTGTTCCCAAGCGCACATGCGGTGTTGAAGCTCCAGTTTCCCCTTTTCCCTCGCGGCAGCTGCTACCACCGCTTTAAAGTGGTGACGGACGCCCTCGAGCCCAGCGACGAGCGAGTGTAGGGTGAAGTTCAATCGCCGATATCACCGAGGATGACGGAATCAGTTTGTGCAGTGCAGCCAGAAGACCTGCCGTGGACGGCGCCTCAACGTGTGTGGCGCATGTATCCCCAACCGTGATGATTGTAGCGTGACTCGGTGAATCAGCACTAGGAGGCTGAACCAGATAGGGGTGGTCAGGCATGGCAGCCTTCAGTCGCAGCTCCCGTGACGGCGCATGTTCGTGGATTAGATCCGGGAAGTTGGCCAACAGCAGCTCAATAAGACGCGACAGTTGAGCCAGTCGTACCGAGGAAGCTGCCTTGGCTGGTTCTCCTCCACAATGAACCTGGAATCCAATGTGGCCTGGGGCAACATGCCGCCAGCCCAGGACATCGCGAAGCAGCGTGGACGGAGTAGCTAGGAGTGGGAAGGCCTTCGCGAGATTGACTCGCTCACCGTCCGCATCCCAGAGTTGAAGGGCTCGGATCTCCTGGAATGGTAACCACTCCATGTGGGCCACACCTTTGGATTCACGACACCAGTCTCTCAGCGCCTTCATCGCTGGGCTTTTTAGCAGCGTAGTGTCAACCAGGCATGAGCCATCGCTCCAGTCGTAGGAGGAAGAGGGAGTAACAAGGTTGACCATACGTGCAATACTTGAAGCAAGCACAGGGGAGGGGGTATCAGCCTTGTCAGTCCCAGCTACTCTCAGCATAGTTTTTCCAGCGGTCCAGACAGTCGAAGGAAAAGGTAACCCAGCAAAGCCTCCAGCACGATAACCGCAAGTGATGAATACCGTCGGCGCGCCAGGTCCCGCAGTTCCAGCAAATAGTATGTCACCAACAACATTCATAGTCTTGGAGCTCGTTACGGCCCATCGGACCGTCTCCGTAGCTGCAAAAGCCAAGAGCTCCACCTTTAGGTCAGGAACAGCAAGGCCCCCGTCAGCTCGTGGGAGTAGCGCAACATCCTGGTTGACCCAATGAGCTCCAGCAATCGTGGAGCTGCCGAAGTGTCCGTGCCATACAAAGTTCCAAATCTTAAGCTGGAGTTCACTCACCCACTCAAGTGTAGGCCGCGCATGCTGCGCGACGTGAAGTAGTTTGGGCAGAATCACAACCGCTGCAATCGTTGCACGTTGATCAGGAGTAAGCGTCTTTAGTTCAGCGAGACGAATTCGGATAGTGAGTTGGGACACCGCTTTGGTCCAGGCAGCCGCGACAACATCGGAGCCACCAACTTGTGCCCCAAGATAGCGGCAGCATCGCTCTGTTGGAAGAAATTGCAGCGGCTCAGGGAGTGTTGAGCCGCTGATGGCCCCGGTTGGTCGAAGAGCGATCACCACGGTCTTAGTCGCGTTTACCCGGAGGCCACTGACATTTCCAAATCGTGAAGTAACGCCCAGCAGAATTGGGACTTCAGACGGAGATCCTAAGTAAACCGTGGTGTCGTCCGCAAATCCTGCAATCTTCAACAGAACTCGGCCGCAGGCTGCGGATAAAGTGATACCACTAATACCTGCCACCGCTTCAATTAATCGGTATAATGGTTCCAGCGCAATAATAAAAAGCATAGGAGCAAGCGGACAGCCTTGCCGGATTCCACTCGTGACTTCCACCAGTCTAGACCGAAGTCCGTTGACGAGGAAACGGACCGTCGTGCCGCGATGAAGAAATTCAGCGCCGCGATGTACCGAGCTGGATAACCAAGCCACACTAAGACGAGAAATAGGAAAAGGCGAGCCAGCGAGTTATAAGCCTTCTCGAAGTCGAGGAGCATAGCGAGCGCTTCCTGGTGTGTGTCATCCGTTTCAGCTGTCACCTTCGCGGCCGAGAACAAATCAATTGTGTCATGTAGTTGCCTACCTGGTACGAATCCAGCTTGGTTTTCATGGATGACACTGCCCAAGGTCGAGCTCGTTCTTGTCGCCAAAATTCGAGTAAAGATCTTGTAGTCAGAGTTGAGCAGAGCCAGGGGACGATAGTTGAGTGGGTTGGATAGATCACCGGACTTTTTCAAGCAAAATATATCCGCCTCAAGAAAAGTCTCCGGGAAGATACCAGCCTCATACCACAAATTGTATAACTTCGTCAAACTCGGAACAAGGAAGTCGGCGTAGTCACGATACCAATCGTTGCCAAGTCCATCGGGGCCACAAGCTTTTCCAGCCTTGCATGCTCCGATAGCGCCTTGCACCTCAGCCTCTGTGATCTGTGTAACAAGCGCGTCCGGATCGCTGAGCTGAACAGGAGGTTCCAAAGTGGAAAGAAGGTCACGAATGTCGGATTCTAGGGGGAGTTCCTTGCGCAAGATCGGCGTCCAGGCGTCTGCAAAAACATCAGCTTTGTCGTGATCCGGTCGTTGCTGCATGTTGGGGTCAGCGATCAGCTTGGGGACTACATTGTCCGCAAACGTGTTGGAAACACGATTGAAGAACGATCGTGGCGACCTGGCCCCATGCCATGTGTGTTCGCGGAATTGACGCTGCGTCTTGTAAGAGGCGCGAGCAGCCTCCAGCTCTGCAATACGCCTTCGAAGGCGCTGAACTCGTGAAACATGTGCAACCTCGTCCAACGAGAGCCCGTCTAGTCAAGCCGTGACGTCCTCAATTGGGTCAGCTTGACCAGATTCAGCCTGGAGAGCCGTGGTTAGCTGACGATATAGGCGCCGCCGCTTTTGACGAATTCGCCGCTTCAATGAGTCCCATTCTATCGCTGTCGCCGACGCACTTTGACCTTCTTCAAGCCAGTCTCCAAAAGAGTCTAGGGCGCCCCGAATAGATGCATCTACCAGTGACTTCGCGTGAGGCGGCACTGGATAAGCACGCACTGGCCTCTTGACACGAATGGGATTGGATGGAGAACGCAAATGGGATAGAACGCCGTCATGATCGCTTAGTCCGGTGGGCAGTACATCCACTTGTGCAACCCAGCGTTGAGCCTCGATCGAAGCATACCAGCGGTCAAGGCGACTGGAGACGTGAAAGTCATCAACGTTGTAGTGATATGTGTGAAAGGCTTGTTGAAATGACTCCAGCCTCTCAGTCTCAGCCCGCAAAGGCATCATCGGTCGCAGACAATCAGTTAGTTCCCACTGTTTGAGCAATATCCGCAGCGCCGGAGAGTCGTGACTGCTGGTAGTGCGCCGTAGCGTACGATCTAGCACTGGATCAAATGTGCAGTTAAAATCTCCACCAAGAAAAACAGGCACATCAGCAGGTCGTGGCAATCGCATGACGTCGTCAAAGAATTTCTCACGCTCTGTACGGTCGATAGGTGCATAGAGATTGATGAGAGCGAAACGTTGACCAGCCAGGTCGCCCAGAACTGCAGTCAACCTCGGCGACCACCGATCTTGCCATAGCGGGGTCACATTTTTCATCGCGCCGTGTGGGTTAATGAGAATACCCGTGCCTCCAGCACTACCATTGGCTTCCCCCCAGAACGAGAGCTGCGGACACCCCGGCCCAACACGAAAACCCCACCAGTTGGCATGCTCGCGGGTCGCTTGGTCAACAAGCCGTGCTCCAACATGCGTTTCCTGCAAAAAGATAACATCTTTGCGCCCGTGCTTGGTAGTAGACTTGTCCATGTATTATGAGCCGAAGGTGTCGCTCCGAATCCTCGAACGTTTTGCGTAAGAAAACCAAAGGTCCGGTCATCCTTGTGCAGTTTCACTGAACCAGATTCCAGGCTCTTAGCCATCATTACGTGTTCGCGTTGCTTCCGTTGTCGAACACGTAGCCGGCGCTGCCCATCCAATTCCTTCCTTAGCGAGCGTGTCCACTCCCGTTGCGACTGGCGAGGGTAAACATCCTCCATAACCGATTGCTGCAGCTGTGGTCCCGGCAGTTGTGTCGTCATGCGCGCTGACGCGCGCCGTTGCGTCTGAGGTGCCGACGACTGCACTCCAGGCGCAGAAGCCCCGCGCGGGCCCTTAGTACCGACCAGCAGTGGAAGGATCTGCATCAGCGTACAAATCTATCTACGTCTGCCCCGACGGAGCGTGAATTGCCGCGCTCCAGTCACAACCTTCGAGAATCCCAGTGCACAACGATTTCACGAACGGGAACTCTTGGTACCAAACCGCTCTGGAACCCAGTGGTGTCCTGCCCATGGGTGTAGTTGCCCACGTGGTAACGACGTACGGGAGTAAATGGAGTAAAGCCCAGCCCGTCTTATCCAGCCCAGTACTATTGTCTCTGCAGTATTGGGGTCCTGTTATCCGCCGTAGCCGCTTCCATCGTTCCTTGTCGCCAGCTAATTGTCTTTGAGTATCAGGGGGTCCCTTGCAGATTGCTGCTAGCCAGACCTCACAGTGTCCACGTGCATCCTGCCCAACACTATCGTCGAGAAGAGCCCGTTCCAGGGCGGCCACCTGCTCTCGACATGCCTCATATCACTCTCAAAGATCCTCGGCCAGACCAAGTGACCCTTCGTCCTAGCTGAGAACACGGCAGAGCTCTACGCGTGGAGAGGCGCGTGGCCTGGGTTCTTAAACTCAGGAAGAAGCTAAGCCAGACCCCATGAAGCAACCAGGTCGGCCGCCCGACCAACCACTAAACCCAACCCAGGGAGTCCCTTGGCGAACAGGCCGGATGCGAATGCGAGCATGAACTGTGTTCCAGGAGGAACATCTCCGGCATCGCCAGGCAGTGAGCGGGAGTGCCCTCCGGACGACTCTGCGGTCAAGTCGAGAGAAAGCGAGTGGAGCACTCATGCGAGCAGAAAGACGAAAAAGCACTTGAAGGTAGCCGCCGCAACGAGCGTGAACGAGAGAGATGGCACCAAGGACGAAAAAGCGCAAGCAAACCCGAAGCCCAAGACGCGACAATCTCCCAGAAACACGTCACTACCGCGCAAACCGACTAAAGCTGGCGAAGAGAATGGCGACGGTAGGGCGTCGTTCCTCAAACTGATCGAATACCTGCGCTACACCGCCCAGCCCAAGCGTGTGTACCAATTGGTGGTCAGAATTCAAGAGCTTGGCCGGCAACGTCGTTTCGAGATATTCAAGGCAAGTCTACACTCAATGGAGAACGAGGAGCAAAAGACGGCCCTGCTTAACGAATGGGCGGATGGTATGCCAGCAAAGCTGCGTGAACGCTACTCAAAATACGCAGGCTCCTGGGACTACGCTAACGAGAGTGAAGCGCTCAGCCTAGCGAGAACACTGTACAACTGGGTGATTATTGAAAGGATCACGAAGAAGGAGCTCGACAACAGGATCCAGTTCTTCGTCTTCTCTAACAAACCGGCCCCAACAACATACATGGCTGCAAAATCTATCGGACCGTCTAGAAGCTACAAAGACGCACTTCAGACTGGTAGCGGTGGTGTACTCCCAGCTGATACCAAGTCCTCAGGTAGCGAGCAACCTGTAAATGACCAAGCGGAGCCACTGATGCAGCCAAGACCGATGACCGATGCGGAACGTGAAAATCTTAATATGCTGTTGTCCCGACGCCTCGACGAGGTGAACCCCCCGGCTTTCCTTTTGCAGGTCTTCACGCCTGGCCAGATGGCGATCTTCATGGAAATGCTGCAAGGGCAGGAGTACCCTCTATATGGGCATCTCATGCCAGGTCATTTTGTTCGCGATGGGCTGAGCCAAAGCACGCTTTTCCAACTAATCGATGCAGGATCCGCTGCTGTTGCTGAGCAACAACAACACGTACAACTGCTGAAAGCAGACTTAGCCCGACTGGAACTGAATCAAGAAACCAGAGTGGTGAGCTTTTACTTCCGTAGTCGACGAGCGGCTCAGCGTTGGAGTGGAATGATTTGCCCATTTGATGGAAAAGGACTTGAGTTGGTGGACTACAACGAACTCCGGTATCAACGCCCGAACGCTGTCCTCCGACTCGACCACTTCCGGTTTTCACTATTGCTGCTTCGTGGTAAGATCTCGCCACTCGAAATGTATGAGCTCTTAACGAAAGAACTCAAACAGCAAGTGAAATCAATCAAACACCCGAAACTGAACGAGCCGGGGCGAGGACGAGAGACATGGGAAGTTATCATCGAGGGACCAATATGCCCGCTGGTGCTCAGCAAGCACACGCGCATTCACCTCCCGAAAACTCACCTATTGATTCACCTGAGCGATGTACACATTAATTTGCCCTGTGTGAAGTGTAGTAGCAAGTGGCACTCCCAGATGCGATGCAACGCTCAGTCCGAAAATTGCAAGCAGGCAGCAGATCAACGCACGCTGAAGATAACGCCGCAGGAAGCAAGCCCTTCGATTAAAAAGGAGATCGCATCGGTTGGTCCCTCAATCCAAAACGTTGACCAGCTCTTTGACTTTTTTGCTCGTTGGGGCGTACCAGAGACCAAACCGTGCTCGACGGAGTCGAAACTGAAGCACCAGGAAGATGAGGAGGTCACCCCAGGTAATGTGGAAAATGATGATAGGGTTATGGATGGGTCCCTCAGATAACCATGACAAGACCATAATGGGGGCCGACGAAGCGAAGAAAGCTGACGGCCATGTAGACACGGACATTGAAATGGAAGGCGATAGCTCGAGCGACAAGGACGCCGCAACCCCTGAAACCAGAGAACGTTTGCTGGAGACAGCTCAATCCAGCACCAAGACGGACGCAGTGGCCACTTTGGATGAGGCAAAACCTGTTGCGTACAAGGCAAGCAAACCCATCCCGGTCCAGCTACAACAAAAGCGCGCACGCGCCAACACTGAGGCTGAACTGCAAGAGGTTGCGCCCCGGAACCAAGGCGATGGGAGGCCACTTCACGAAAGAGACGCTGCTACCCATGAGCAGCATCGGCGCGTACTTAAGCAACTTTCAGGAAGACGACAAAAGAAAATATTGCGTCAAGGCTCCAAAACGCAAGAGTGCTCAGTGGCATCTCTGTCGCCAACCAAACAACAGGCCGCGGAGCCGAAAGCGCTAAAGCAACAATCTCTTTCTGACGCTTTTGCCGGTGAACGGGACGCACCGCATCTACCTTCTGAAGATGAGGTGAATAAGTGGACGGATCTGGAGAAGACGGAGATGGATAGTGGGCCGACACCTTCGGTCCTCATGGAAACGCAAGATGAAGATGAAGACGTGGAATGCGTGGGTGAAAATCTAACCGAGACAAAACGCGATCTCCAGGTATGGCTCAACGCGATTGGGGGGAAGATCACGGACGTAGAAGCTAATGGGCAGTGTGGGCGGCTAGCGATCTATGCGGCGGCGCACAACGTTGAAAATGACGTGCTCGATATGACGCCAAAAACCATACAGGAGGCAACAATGTGGAAGAGAAAGATCCTAAGTGTGCTGCTCGCGAAAATAAATCCACTTGTGGAGGCAAAGGTAATTGATCTTGCAACTGAACAAGGAACCAGTTATTCATCGAGCACCACTCCGACGACGACACACTCGAACGCGGACCCTTTACTCATGTACTGGGACTCAGAGCGAAGGCGCAGCGTAGAAATCCCCGTTCCGCAGAGCTGCTGGGTGAATATGACGATTCTGCATGGGGCAACTCTGTTTCTACGAGAGCCGGTATATGTACTAGATGTGCACCAGGATGGTGGCACATACCTCGGAATGTATGCGTATCGAAAAGTAGACCGCCACGGAAAAGCAGAAGACATCCCATTTTTCGCGAACATTCATGCCGACAAGGGGCTACAACTGCTGGAAACTCTGCGAGGAAAAGGAGTTCGTCCTGTCATGATTGTACTTACACGCTCGGTTCACAAAGGCAGCGAGAACTCACCACCAGTTATTAAGAACCACTACAAAGCAGTGACTTTCTCTTCTCTTCCGACCGGGCTCCTAGATTCGAGAGGGTACAGCTCCATGACGAAGGCCCATCAAGCAACGCTAACAGAACAAGGTTTTACGCTCCAGGTTGGAGGCAACTTAGCTCAAGCAACGCTCGCACGCACGGCATCCAATGCGGTAACCAGAGCACGGCAGCGAGCAGGAGAAATGGCCGACTCTTCTTCGGCCGGCTCCACTGATACAACAACGAGCACCTTTGGTATTCATGGTACCAATAATGTAGCAGAGGCGGGCACAAAGCAGCCCGAGACCTCTCTACAGTGCTGAAAGTTGCCACAGGAGGAAAATCTCGTCAGGTCCAGATCCAGACCTCGATACGAGATTTCTTTCCGCACGTATCGGAAACTCAGAGCAGCAAGCAGCTCCGGAGATGCTTTCGACAGGTTCGGCCAAAGCTAAGGATCAGCACCACCAACACAAAACAAGGAGCGAGAACGCAGAAGAGCGACCTTTCCCCGGATGATTTTACTTACCCAAAATGTGGGTGGCCTTGCATCTTATACCAAGCAGCTCCCGCAATTATTTCAAGGATTTCGAGAGCAGCAGCGTAATGGACTCAATGATTAGGTGATTATACAAGAAACACACCTGGATGAGGTGGAATCGGCTTTTGCAGAGCAGCAGTATAAAACGGTGTGGGGATACAAGCAGAGTTCACGGTCGGTCGTCTCCTTCTGGACACCCGCTCATGCCGGACAGAGGAATAAGCGGGCTCGTCATGGAGGCGTTACAATCTTAATCAACCCGCACGGGGCAATCCGCAACGCGCAACCTTGGAGCCAACATCTGTGGACTGCCTATAGGCAGTTCATTAGGTGCAGTCTGCAGGGGGAAGAGCTACTCGTAATGAATTTGTATGCCCCATCCGATCCCAAGGCGCGCAAGCAATTTTTCCAGCGACTTGTCGACATTCCAGTCCCCGACAACGTCAAGCTCGTAGTAGGGGGAGACTTCAACTGCGTCACCGATTCATTTTTCGATAGGAGATCGAGCGCTAGAACCGGAGACGCAGGACGAGCTGCGTTGCAACAATGGCTGGAATCGCTACATTTAGTTGACGCTGTGGACCACCTGAAGCCGGGCGATATGGACCCTAAAGCAAGGAACGATTTTGCAGCTGACCATCATACCTACTTCTACAAGCTTGCACATGAGAGGGTAGGCTCAAGTCGGATAGACAGGTGGTACCTTGCAGCAAGAATGCAGCCGTGGATTAAGCAAGTGAGCAAGATCGGGTGTCCAATTCGCTTGGACCATTACGGTGTTGCTCTCCAGCTGCAAAGTCCCAAAAACCCGCTGCGCATCAAACGCCTGCCAAAAATTTACCCCATGCTTGAATACATGACTGCCGCCGCTAAAAATCTAATTTCTTCTCGGATCGGTGATTTTCACAAGCACGTACACGAAATAGTGGACGAAGTGGACGCCGCGTGTTTGGCTGAGAGCTGGGATCGTTTCAAGAAGGGGCTAGCAGATGGGCTCGGGAAGCTTAAGCGTCAGTGTCGACGCAAGATGACTCGAGGTTTTCGGCACCGCATACGAAGAGTGCTAACGAAACTCAAGAAGTGTGAAAGCAGGGAAAACGGAGCTTCGGACCTAAGGGAGCAGCTGCTTGAGCAACTTCAAGCTATACAACAACAACGCAGAAGACTGCGGAGGCGGAACCTCACGCGTCAGCACACTTGGACCGGAAAATCCAACGCCAAGTTTTTCTTTCGCAGAATATGCACGAAGTTTAGTGACAACATTATTCATGATCTCAAGCAGAGCGGACTGCAACCGAAACGGGATCCTGCGGACAAAGCTAATATTTTAGCAGATGCGTGGTTTCCTGTAATGAACAGCGGTAGCGTGGACGTCAAATCTATCGATGAATATGTGGAGCGGCTGAAGAAAGGGTGGGCCAAATACGATCTAGAGATATGGATGACACAATAACAGAAGCAGAAGGGGAGGCAGCCATTCGCAAGTGCAAGCGCGGGAAGTCCGCAGGCCCAGAAAAACTTGGCAACGACTGGTACAAGGATCATTGTGATATTCTGGTGCCACTTTTGACGATTTTGTACAATCGATGGATAGAGGAAGGAGCCTTTCCGTCGAGCTTCCAGCAAGGCTACATCTTCAGTATTAAGAAAAAAGGAGATGCGAGCTTGCCGCTGAACTATAGACCGATAGCCTTGCTAAACTCCGACTACAAGATCCTGACCCGCATCTGCACACGAAGACTGCGCTCTCACATTTCGAAGCTGGTCCACGAAACACAATTTGGGTTTGTTCCCGGCCGAAGAATACACACCGCTATCAACTTGTTCGAGGCGGCAAAGGGCGTTTGCAAAACCAACCCAGAACTTCCAGACGCTCAAGCACTCCTACTCGATTTCGCTAAAGCGTATGATACACTCGATCGTCACTACTTGCTGGCAGTGCTACGGGCCAAGGGTTCCCGCCCAAATTTTGCCGCATGGTCGAAGTGACGCACGCCAATACAACAGCCACGTTTCTTGCTAATGGATACCCTTCGGCGCCAATACCAGTTACTAGAGGCATAAGACAAGGCTGCCCACTCGCTCCCTTACTCTTTATTCTAGCTGTCGACCTCCTCTATGACGAACTCGAGGCAACGGCAGATGCGTGTGGCATCATGCTACATGGGCAAACCGGAGCTTATCGACTTCACGTTGCTGGATATGCTGACGACACTGCAATATATATCAAGCACCGGAACATGCAAGCCGAAATTATCGCAGCGTTGGGACGCTTCTCAGAGCGGTTGGGGCTCCAAGTCAACGTCAATAAATCAATTGCGATCCCCCTCGGAAGTTTTCAGGCTAACCCTGCTCGCGAAATGAGTGTTGGCATGCCCATAATTGCTGAACAAGAATGCCGATACTTGGGTCATTGGGCTGGAAGTGAAGATACTACAGCCACGGAGTAAAGCTTTTGCGGCGCTAACTGTTCGACTAGCACTTGCCGTGGACAAAACGAACTCAACTGCGCAGCGAGTGGATATTGCCAACGCTATTATCATATCTACATAGCGCAACACGCGATTCCACACTCATCGGTAAAAGGCTGGGTGACTCGAACTTTCCATAAAAGAAGGTGGACTGGCAATGCCTAACCTAAGTGTAGAGCTACATGCCCTCAGCGCGCAAACCGTAGGCGACTGGGCTCTCGAGAGCTCGGGAATTATCAGAGTGGCTGGGGATATTTTGCGCTCGCGGGACGGTATAACAGAGACGATGATCACTCCAGTGTGGCGCGGGAAGACCCCCATAAATCTCCGAAATTCGATGTGGACAAATGGTAGCGTCTGGGTGGCGCGCTCGCTAGCACCAGCCTTCCCGGAAAATAGTATCAGCGGACAGACCGCATTGCTGGCTAAGTTTCGAAAGCGACACGGTGTCACAACACGATGGATAAATGGCGAGTTAGTGTGTGATCTCCGTTCAATACTCGTCGGAGTTCAGACTTACGCACGCTTCCTAGAAGAACGATTCGGTCGCTTTGTCGGAGACGGTGTAAAGCAGCTGAAACTACGCGATCTGCCACTCTTTACGACTACGGGGCAGCTTGAAAAAATGTGCAAACGCTTTTCTCTACTGGCACCGGCTTCATCCAGAGTAATTGATGTTTTTAACTGGGAATTGGTGAAACCGGGCGTTGTCAAGTGGAAATGCAGCAATTTTGCATATCGGATGGCGTCCCAACTTGCGCATCAAGTCCGTGATCTCTCGTTAGTGATACTGGCAAATTTTCCTGGGGTGGCTCTGACGAAGCTCAGGAGTAATGACATTATTGTCAGCCACAAATTACCAGACCCACACCATGAATTCCTGCTTAGTGACGGACCGGCGCATTTGTAACTCACACAGGGGGCTCTATGGAGCCTAGTGTTCTGGAGCATACCACTCCACCACTGTTAGATCAAGCCATAGCCACTTTTCTCGGGGTGCCCGTCGCCACGGTGTGGACAGTTCCCCACCAACTGGTGACTCGCTTGGCAGTCACATGGGCCGGAACGGCAAGGTGGCCGCAAACTCGAGCGAAATACAAGCGTCAAGCTGGAGAGAAAAGGATGTTGAAGGGGATACAACGAATCGAAAACGCAGCAATTGCGTGGGCCCGAGAAAGCGGTGTTATCAGCTCGGCTTTGGACCAAGTCCAATGGATGAGCATTTCGAGAATCCCAGGCACCTCCTCATACCTGCACTCACTCCTGTATAGACTCAAACTCCGTGCGTTGTCGCTGTGGGTCCCACCGCTCAAGCGCCAAGCATGCCCCCCCCCCCCCCCCCGCGGAATGCACACATCACGTCAACATCGCTCTCTCTCATGTCTTTTGGGAATGCCCGTACGCGCAAAGGAGGTGGAAGACTACTCGAAGCATTTTTGCGGAGCTTGATACTGAGTCCAATGCACCGAGTATTACCGAAATCTTCTCGTGTAGACTGACTTATCCTCCTGGGAAATGCGTGCGTCACGGAATGGAGTGGGCAAAACAGAACTCCCGTTTGCACAAGTTACAGACTACGGATGCAGTTCATGCTGTCGTCAACAAATATTGGAGCTTTGCCGTGGTAGAAACGCTAGCGTCGATTTGGCGAGCCCCCGTGGATATGGTTTACAACACGAAGAGCAACAAATGAACGGGACGCCTCTTTTCACGCTCGGCTACAGACCGGTTTTGATATTGTGGCTTCAACATTCCAACTAGATAGGAAAAATGCGGGCGACTGGGCCAGCGCCATGGACACGAGGAAGCGTCTGCGCCAACAAAACTCAGACGACATCGTAGCTCCGGGAGAGAGTCCATCGCAGCCCGAGCACTATGTTGGCTTCTTCGATGGAGGATCGCGTGGAAATCCTGGACCAGGCGGAAGTGGAAGTGTACTCATCCAGGTCGACGAGTGCGGGGTACCACGAATCGTCTGGTTGAGCAGCATCTCGCTGCTACGTCCTACGTGTACAAACAATTTCGCAGAATTCAACGGATTGCTCCGATTGCTACACCACGTGGACAAGCGCAAACTCAAACAGGTGCACATAGTAGGAGATAGTCAACTTGTCTTACGGATGATACGGGAGCGCAGGCGCCAAAAGCTCGGGTGCTTCAGCCTATTTATGACAGAGCACGGCGCCTAGCAGACTCGGTGCGCGTAGCTTCATGGAGACACCACTACCGTTGCCACAACAAGATGGCAGATTGTCTTGCGAACCTCGCTATGGATTCCAGACGAAGTCAGCAGGATGAACCCATGAATAGGGACCTGGCGGAACGACGATACCCGGGCGTTCTCAGCTTCTTGATGAATGACTACAGGAAATGGGCAGACACGAACACAGGACAAGAAATCCTCATGCCCTCTTCTCTCTAAGCGAAGCCACGGCTTAGCTTATATGGACATGCACATCTTACATATCAAACCCACTCCTCTTGCTCTTGAGGATGGAAGGGGGATTAGAAGTTCGGCCACAAGGCCAGTATCAATACACCTCAACGTTATTAAAAAAAAAGATATGCCTCATAAGCTCCCCACGCTGTGAGATCGTCGGTGGTCCAAACCTTGGCCTCCAATTCCGGATAGGGTAGAAACGCGAACAAATGCCGCAAGGTAGGAGGGTGTTTCAGTAGCTCTTGGGCAATACTGCGAGCCGTACTTCTTCGTCCAATGGTCGGGAGGTTGAGCGCTTTCTGATAAAGCGTGCACCAGCGCGTGAAAGCTTCGCGATTAGCCGCGTGAATAAGTTCGTACAGAGGTAGATCATCCTTCGGGACAGAAGTTGGGTTCTCGGCCTGCAGAATACGGAAATATAAATCCTCCGAAATCTCTCCGCTCGACACACGAGGATACTGATTGGGGGTGGCGACCTCAGATGGCGTATCCTCATCGCTATCCTGCGACCCACTCGCATAGCCATCAATTCCATAGGTCTCCTGAAGCATGCATTCCTCCTGAACAAGAAGCAAGTCAAGCTCCTTTTCATCGTCATAGCCCTCCTGCTCGAGCGTCGGCCGCCCCATGCGGGCATGAACGATATCAAGCCGATCCCGGAGAGTCACTCGTTTGATGATAACGTTGTTTACACTCGGTGTGTTGCTCAGTTTGTTTAGCGATTCGAGGGGGGCATCCTCTCCAGGAAGGATCGAGGTGACCGTAGCTTTCCAGGCGTATGTGTCAGACACCATCGCAGTATACTCTCGATCTCCTTCAGCCCTCCATTTGACGAACAGCTCACCATGCGCCACGCCGTTGAAGTGGTGTTCATCCTCGCGTAAAATAAGGAAACGTGGCAATACATGGAGACTCCAGCATTCGAAGAGATAGTCACGAGCTTGCCGGTCAGTTAGCGCCTCACAGTAGCCAGTCTCATGGTCATCGCCGTTCTTCAGTCGGAAATCCTTGTACATGTAGCGCTGCAGCTGCGCATCACCGGACTTGTTCATTCTGAGCACCAAAAGCGGTTCCCGCAGATATTGCGCCATAGCCCTCAATTCGTGCGGCCCAGCCCAGAAGCTCTTGGGAACCTGCACGTTGGTAGCGCGAGTTCTCTCTTGAGCGTAATGAGCAAATAGCGAAGCCGTTGCGGCATCTCTGTTCACATGCAAAGGTTGGTTGGGGAAAGCACGATGGGCTTCCAGTAGCGGGTCGAGTAAGCCGAGCTCCACGTCATAGCGGAGGTTGGCCATCATTAGCGTGTAGACGCCCTTTTTGATCTCGGAGGCCTGTCGGGTGTCTGCCGCCGTTGACGTGAGGCATGGGCGCGCGTGGTTTGACATAGTAGCATATAGCGCAAGAAAGGCACATTGCCCGTTGCGAGCCACATCCACAGCCGTGCCCGCGAAGCTTTCTAGCCAGTGCGCAGCTTGGATCGGAAGATCAGCGTCGCCCTCTGCGCTGCCCACGTGCGGCCTGCCCATGGTGAATTCTTCCTGTGAGCCCGATGCGGCAGGGACGATGTCATCATGGAGAGGAGCCGGCGAACCAGCAGCGACAGCAGGTGGGAGCGACGGCGTACTGACGAAATCAACCAGGGTAGTTTGTACGAGTGGAGGCGATTTTCAGTCAGGTTCTGGAATAGCGGTCTCAACCGAAGCTGCTATGGAACATCGACCGGCCGAAACAGGGGGAAGGTCTCCATCATCAGGTCCCTCCATTTCAACGTCCTGTGCGGTATGGTCGACTTGGGTGGGGCGACTAACATCAGGAACTTCCGTCATATCCACGTCCTCAGGGGCGTTGTCAACGGCATCAGCATCATCTTCCTCGTCACTGTCCTCGTCGGCAAGAACGCTGTAGCGGCCGAGTGCTTCCTCTCGTTGAAAAGCTACGAAACTCTCCTTGGTGTGGCCTCTAGTCCGAGCCTTTGGTGCAGCAGGTGGGCTGTTCCCTTTGGGCTGACGCGAGTTCACGCCTTTGGTCGCCACCATCTTGACCGAGGCGTCGGCGTTCTCGCGGCCTGAATTCGCCTGAGTGTTCGGTGCACGTGCAGCCCGCTTGGCACGCTCCGAGAGTTTGATCGTGTAACCATCGCTGCTACCAGGTACGACCCGTTGCACTGCATTGTGGGCCCTCTCGGGACCCGCCGGCGTCTCGGCAGCGCTTGGGCCGTTCGCTGTAGTCTCATTGATCGTGCCACTCAATCCGGCCACATCTTGGGGGAGTTCATTCACCGTCTCCGCGGATGCAAAGGCCGCTTCTTGGACCGTAAGAAGGGCAATTAGCTCGGAGCCGTCTTGGACGCGATAGCTGTCAAGCGCTGACGGGCAAAACTTCGAAACGGAACCCAGGATCGTACGACTACCCCGCGCCTTTAGCTGAGGCAATGTGAAGGCAGTAGCTTTGCACCGAGATGTGCCATCGCGTGGGCTGAAACACCGGGAGCAAGGGATACGAAGGTTCGTTTGGTAATGATGAAGGACCAGTGTTAGGCCGTCCATCATTAGCCGGGTTACTCCGTCGAGCACCTGGGGACACCCCGCTTGAGCAAACCGGACAATGTGATAGCGGTTATCGTAGATCTCCGTTTTGGTAGTGCGCGGGAATTCCACATCGAGAACCTCAGCACTGGTTAACTTCGCGAACGCTCTGGAGAGAGCGGCCAGTCCTAGAGGGCCGCCACCGTACACCGCATGTTTGGCCGGGCAGCTCGTGGGTGACACCGCGGACCAAGCTGGATATCTGCGTTGCTGCACGCGGCGACGTATTGTGGCGGTTTATTACCGTCAGCCGGAAGGCGGGGCCTGTGGGGGGCCCACAGTGGCGCTACTTGTGGCTCACCGCGCCGTTTCCCACTACAAACCAGGCCACGGGTGACACCGTGGACCCACCTGGATGGCGTCCACGTCTTGACTGGTCACCTTGGCGTAGCAGCTCACGGGTGACACCGTGGACCAAGCTGGCTGTCTGCGTTGCTGCGTGCGGCGGCGTATTGCGGCGGTTTATTACCGTCAGCCGGATGGCGGGGCCTGTGGGGGGGTCCACGGTGGGCTACGTGTCCATCGCGCCGTTTCCCATTAGAAACCAGTCCACGGGTGACGCCGTGGTCCCAACTGAACGTCAGTGCTTTCATGGCATGCGTGCGACTTTGGCAGGTCACCAGGTCGTTGGGTGTGCTTCGCGCAGCCCATCCTCAGCACCGCATTGACGAGCGGACTTCTGCTGTAAGTCGGAGTGGCCTGCGCCACATGAAGCTGACCGCGACAGGATGGATAACCGTGGAGATGCCCGTTCGAGGCGCGGAGGGGTGGAGAAATCGCAATGGAGAGGCAGCTATTCGGAGCGCCTTGGGGAGTCGACAGCGCTGCAGGAGCGCTTCAAGATGGCCTGCAACATATACGGCAGTAAGGAACGCGGATCTGCTTGGACAAGTGCAGTGGAGAGGGCCTCGGTTCTTGAGGGGAAGGGGGCGCCGAAGGGGCGTAGGGACCGCGACGCTGTCCGCGGGGAAATTAGACAGAAGTTGCATGGACCGTTTCAACTATGCGGCGGGCGGACGAGATGTGTAGGCTCGGAAGCGACGCTGGTATCTAGCTCGTTACTTTACTTTAGTAGTTTAACGTGGCTTATACAGGCCTCAACCTTTGAAACTGAAACTCACGGATAGAAACCTTCAGTTTGCGTTCCGACACGTGATGCAGCGTGGATACATTTATAGAAAGCTTTTCGGACGACAACTGACGATCAGGGTTTGGTAGTAGTGGGAATTTTGGCTGAATACTATATCTATTAGTAGTTAGGTATCGATGTTACTAATATGACTACTAATATGACTACTAATATGACTACTAATATGACTACTAATATGACTACTAATATGACTACTAATAGGACTACTAATAGGACTACTATGACCGACTGACCATCATTCCGGATTCCGACCACAATGGCGCTTACTGGCCTCCATATGAGGTACACTGTAGCGCGCGATGATTCCTCACAAAAGAACCGAGTTAGAGCACGCTTGCTGACGAGCAGCGATCAAGCACATATTTGTTTTCGCGAACCAACAGCACACGTAAATGACTCTTCAAAGCTACTCACTCAACACTCCACACCTGAAAATTGCTTTTTCTATCTCCCACGATCTCCTTGGATAACACCTTGTTACACTCTTCTTTGCCTGAATATTGCGGTCGGCGCAATGCTTGATCACGATACTCAAGCGGTAGAGTGAGGTACTTGAGTTAGATTAAAGTTTGACGACTTCTGAGTAACTTCACGAAAGTCTTCTGGTTGTCTTTGGAAATATGCCGTGCCCAGTATGGCAATCTAGAAGGAACAGGAGGAGGGACAGCGCAAGTGCACATGGGTAGAAGATCATCGGCATGCATGTGCCGAGGTGAAGAAGTTTATAGAGAATTTAAGCGTCATCAAGCCGAAAACAATATCACCCCAAACTGCTAGTAGAATGTTATTTACTTCGTTTATGCCAGCGCAACAGCCAACACCTTACGTTGATGCATGGAGTTTCTAGATTATAAATCCCACATGTGATACCCCAAAAGAGATCATGTACTCGGACGTTTAAGCACTTTACTCTTACTCTGAAGTCAGGCGAATTCACTCGGGCGTACTGAGTAAGGACGGTCCTCAGATGTACAGCTGAATGTGGGCTCCTGGGAGTCGACGTCTCCGCGTTAAAGCCTCTGGCAACAGATGTGCGGCTGCGGAATCTGCATGTCGAGTTTAGTAGTATCGACAAAGACAACCATGAACAGCAGCGTTACCCTTTGAGATAACGTTAGCTTTTTTGCATTTGTCACACAGCACGTTGTTGCACAAATGATGCACCTGTCGGTCGCATACACAGCACGGAACAGTTTCCGATATGGCACTTTGGTGGCAATCACTCTTCGCGCACTGCATAGCACGTTTGCGTGAAGTTGGAAGCCTAGTAAGGGATCCTGACTGGTGCGTGGCCACTCACTCGTGCGATCTGGCCTCGGTTGAGGAATGGGTACATTAGTACAGTGCCTACAGTAATTAGTCTGGCTTCAAAATTAGTCTGGGCCAGAATAATTCGTGTCGTGCGAAAATTGACGTCTTCATTATTAGTCTGGCTAAAAATGTTCATAATTAGTTTGTCGTGGTGACCACGATTATAGTCAATCTCTACCTACTTTACGGCAATGCTTTTTGAAAAAGCACTTGACAGCAGCTAATTTACCAGATCTCGCACACACAGAACCTGGTATCTCGAAAATATAATAGATACCTGAGTGAACATAGCATCGAACCCATTGAATAGCCTTCTCTAACCGTTAGAGAAGCAGCATCTGCGATGCTTTAGTCTTTACTTCTCCTGAAAGCCACGATAAATATAGGTAAACTATAAAACATATTTGAAAATACGTATAAACATACCATTTCACAAAAATAATGTTTTTTCTTACTGGAAAACGTATATTTTTAGATATTCATAATTAGTCTATATTCTAAATTAGTCTGTCACTGTTGGGGCCATACTAATAATTGTGGGCAATGAAAAATCTGCTATTCAGATTTAGTCTGGCCAGACTAATTACTGTAGGTACTGTAGTGATAATAGCACTAACGGGTATTCCCGAATACAGCATCCGTCCCGAATAAAAGCCCTCTGGTCATTTTTGAAATCGGTCCAAAATTAGAAGCCCTACCCGATTACAAGACCGGTAGGCATTATGGGGTCCACATCGTCGGTACTAGCCCAGCACTACAGATACCACCCAGAAACTGCAAACCGTATAAATTGATACCCTTGTGGAATCATGATATCGAGGGACAACATCTCAGGAGGGAGCGCCCGTCACATTGAAGTACCGCCACTGTGTGGTCTACACATTCCATTTTCATTCGCACTTTTTCCACAGACAAAGTCAAGGCAGCACTGAGCACAGGACGCCCAGCCTCCAGAAGCGTTCTAAGGGCACCCAGAAGCGTACCAAGGGTGTGTGGCTAACCATCCAGCAGAAGTGCGATATTATTGAGGAGTATCACCCTCTCTCTCAGAAGTAAAAAGGAAGTTTGAGGAAATAGTGGTAGTAACGCACCCCAATCACTTATCTCCTCAGATTATATAATTCCCTGTAGGAACTTGGATGTACCACTTTTTGCAGTTTGTGTGTCGTATCTGTATACTACTAGTGGATGGAAAGAGTATACCGGGTTATGTGATACTCCATAATCGTGATGCCCGCGGTGGAGGAGCTGCATGCAGTGGAGCAAGGTTTGAAGCCATCACTGGATTTCCCGGGGTCGTTGGAGCTATCGACGGGATGCTAATTAAGATTCCACGACCCTGGGATTTTGAAGGCTGGTACTGGTGACAGGGAAACACCGATAGTAAGCTCGTCGGTCGCGGCTCGTGGCGCTGTTGGTGCACGGTCAGATGGAAGGCTAGCTTCAGACGTGATTAATGGTTTCAGCAAGCCCCACTTGGACAAGAGCTAGCACACGGAACTAATGGCGCCAGCACATGCCCAATGAATCAATCTCTTATACCTACCCTTGCGAATATTGCTGCTCAAGAAATCTGTGCTGGCACTTGAACAAGGGCCTTACGTAGGTGGATAATCGATGATACTCTGTATCATTTGCTCGAGAAATATAGACTCATTGGTAGGGGTCATCGTTTGGTCATGGAATAGTGACCCTACCCAAATAAAAGACCTTTTTCGTAATTGCACAAAATTGACCCGCTTCTAATAAATAGAATACCGGACAGTACTCGGGCATTTCCGTTACTATCCATGTTTCGTTTAACTACTATATAAATAGTACTACTGATGGCTGAAATGCCAGAACATTAGTAGTAGTAGTAGTAGTAGTAATAGTCATAATATGCCTACTAACGCTACTATTCTGGAGACTACTACCTGACCAGTTCATCAGCAGAGCAGTGAGAGAAGCCGCGTTGTCGACTCGGACATTCTGACATCAATTCTCAAACTGCTGGATAATCGGGAGGACACGGCACGGCGCTCTTCTAACCCCTGCCGGCAACTTGGCGGCACATTAAAACACGGATTAAGTGCACCACTGACGAAGTCTTTCATTTCATCATCACTGTAGCATTAGCATTCTAACAGCTCATTTGAGGTCCTTCAAGAGCGCCTTACTCGAGACGTGCTCGCTTGCTGTCGCTGATCGAGTTTTCATCGTAGCGTTCTGAGAGAAACTTCAGCTCCTCGATGAAACCAGCAAGCTTTTTTTGCTGCTCTGAAAACAACGCCTGTGTTTTGTGATGGTCACATTCGCACGCTGGCCTGTGCCGCTGGTCTCCCCATGTGGAATGAAGCAGTCACCTGCTTCTCACGATTCCATCTCGACGCGTAACTTCTCGCGCTCGCGATGCCATTGAACAGAATAACCCCGCTGGTGTTCATGGAAGCGTTTGGGCCTCGTAAAAATGCCTGCACTTGGGCGTTGCTGGGAAGGATGCGCCTGGCATTTCCCACGTAAAAGGCTTATCCAGAAGCTGGAGCTGATTGTTCAGCCATTCAACTCTCCGACGGGCAATAGAGGCGAGGACAGCAAATCGGTGGTCGGATGGGTCAATATCACCGATATGATCAGTAAATGCCTTGATGACGGGTCGTAGCATGTCCGGGTTCGTCTCCACGAACTTGTCCGCGACTGTATCAAAGATGGTCGTATCGCCGCATTGAATCGTCCATTTCCAGAGGTGTTCAATGCCCCTAGAGTGGCACAACACGTGATCATGAAGCTTGGAGGCCTTCTCCACTGCGCTAGACAGCAAGACTTGTTGAGCTTCGCCGGATAGAAGACAGTCGACAATTTGCAGTATTGCCACCATTCTTGAGTCGTTGATCGTTTGGATTTGAAGCCCCATGGTGACATGGTCAGTAGCTCCGCCAAACACATTCAAAAGATCCTGACCGATGTCGCTCCAGCTAAACGTACGGGCAAGCGAAGCAAAGGAGGGGTTCAGACCATCCATGTAACCATCAAGGCGACGGACAAAGCTTGTGAAGAACATTTTGACCAGCTCAGGGTCTTCGGCTTCTACCAAGAGGTGACATAATGCCTTGCAAAATCCAGGTGAAACACGTCTCCGTGGGCCCTGATAACTCGGGCTTTGCTGTGCCAACAACTTCTCATTAACCGCATTCATAAACTTGCGGAGAGTGGCAGCGCTGACAGGCCAATGAGCTTGCAGAGATCCAATAGCAACGTCAATGCTGATATACTTGAAAGCATTGTCCACACCTTGATCCATTGGCCACGCAACTACCGCGTATCGCGAATACGTGGTTTCCCTCGTCGCTCCCTCATTACCAAGATATTCTTCAAATGTGCTGTTCCCATGTTTCGCCCAGAGCGCAGACAAGGTTTCTCGGCCCGGATTCAAGAAGTTAAGCTTCTGCTTCGTTTTCAAGGCACGAACGATACCCTTTCCGCTCTTAGTGTACCAAGTAATCGATTCATGGCGCTCGTTTTCGTCCCAACTTCCACCATCGTCATAGTAGCTGACTTCATGAGTCAGCTGGGCGATGAAAAACTGCAACTTCTTGGCAGGAACAGCAGCCCGACTTGCTTCTTCTAGCGTGTGGAACCTCGCGCGATCGATGCCTTTGAAGGCGCCGGATCCCATTATCGCGATACTTTTGCCAGTGTACTCGTGGTTCAGCAACAGCGCAAATGCTGCGTCTCCTGTTCAATCCCGTTCAGCACTCCACCCATTTCCTCGCCAAGCGTCTGATCACAATTCCTCATCAAGTGGCGCATATCGGGCGGTAAGCAAACCGAATAAATCAGCACCAATCGATAGCCTTTCGTCACCTCCTCCAGAGCGTGCTCCGCATCGGCATAGTGCACCGCATAGTGAGGCAAGTATGGTGCCGTGCCGTCACTCTTGCCAAAATCATGCCGCTGGCTCACCTCGCCTCGACGGTAGACCACCAAGTCCCGCCTTCGTGCGCACTTGGCACCTGGACGACCATCGTCGCCACCATTCCGTCCTCCTTCTCCGTATCCTGGTGCTTCACAAAGTGTCCTCCTTCCCCGTACACCAGCAATTTGTACAGCTTGCACTGCAAGGGCACACCATTGTATCCAAGTCTGCCTGCAATGGTCTCGCCCAGCTTGTCGATACCCGTAGACCACAGTGGGTTCTTGATGTCCACCTGATCAGGACTCAGTTGCCAGCTCTTGCGGACACTTTCGTCCATCATCGTCTCCAGCTTCCTCCCAAACGGAGACTTGTCGCACTTGGCGATCAACTTGGTCGCGTGCTCCTCGGTCAAGGGGACGGGGATGAGCCCCACCCCATCGCCATGCAGTCCAGGGGCTACTGGGAGCGTTGACGCTTGTCCTCCGAAGGAATACTCCCCTGCGTTGTCGTCCGCCCGGGCCAGCATCTCACTGATCTTTTGGCAGGCAGCACCGGAAAGCGTGGGGACATCCCCGGGCTGCCCCTCGCCCCCAAACGGCCACTTGCCGCCACCGAAGACGTACTCTTCGCTGGGCTCGTTTCGGTCCACGCCGTCATATTCATCCTCGCGATCCCAGCCCCACGCCATGGTACAGTATCGTTGATACCGCGGGAATTGAAAATAATAAATAAGCAGTAAAATGCATTTCGTAAACAAAATGATCGATTGACGCATCATTTTTCGAAGGCAAACTTCAACGACAACGTCGCTCCTCAAGAAGGCCCCGGTGACGACGAGGCCTTCGGGGAGGGTGAGTGGCCGTTCGGTGGCCACGGCGAGCCGGACGACGTCGGGGCCTGCGTGCAAGAAAATCAGCGACATCTTGTCTCGGGCGGACGAGTACGCGGGCGAGTATTCCTTCGGCGGGCCCGCAGATGCCTTACCCCCAGTACCAGGCCTATTTATTGATGGGGTGGGGACGCTTTCAGTCCCTCTGAGCAATGCACAAGCCGAGGAGCTCGTTGCCCAGTGCGAGAAGTCCCCCTTTGGCCGACGACTCGACACCTTGATGGATGAAAGTGTGCGCAAGAGCTGGCAGCTTCCACCGGATCAAATTACGTTCCAGAATCCGCAATGGCAAGCGGGAGTTGAGGAGTTGAGTGAGATTATTGCCGGTCGATTCGGCTACAAGGGGGTTCCGATGCAGTGCAAGCTCTACAAGTTGCTGGTGTACGGTGAAGGAGGTCATTTCGTGAAGCACCAAGATACGGAGAAGGAGGACGGAATGGTGGCGACGTTGGTGGTACAGTTGCCCAGTTTCCATGAAGGGGGAAACTTGGTGGTGTATCGTGGTGGGGAGGTGAAGCATCGCCACGATTTTGCAAGTCGGATGGGATGGCGGCATTCGTTCCTTACTATGCAGTGCACTATGCCGACGCGGAGCATGCACTGGAGAAGGTGACGACGAAGGGGTTCAGACTGGCCTTGGTGTACTCGGTTTGTCTGCCTCCTGACATGCGTCACTTGATGAGGAGCAACGACCAATCCTTGAGCGACGAACTGGGCGGCATCATTGGTAGCATGGGGAATGAGAATGAGGATTCCTCGTTCGCGTTGATGCTCTCTCACGAGTACACGGAGCGAAGCATTGATGGACTCGGTGCGCGCTGACTGAAGGGTGTTGATCGAGCGCGCTTTCGTGCGCTCCAGCAAGCGAACGCTGTTGCTGCCCAGGACAAGAAACTGGAGTTTGCCATCGGGAAGCTATCAGTTACATCGATGATGGCGGGTATTGGGACCAAAGGGAGCGTAACGATTCCATCACGTGGTGCTCTCCGACAAGGCCTTAACCGCGTTTTGACATCGGAGCTGAATTTCCTAACCCCGACAAGAAAACGTATTCCGATTTCTGGGATGGACGCGGGAACAGCACGTTTGAGGGGTATCTTGGGAATGAAGGGGCTACGAGGGATACGACTTACTATCGCTATGCGATCATCGCATGGCCTGCCGCTCACTTGACTTCGAAGCATTCCGGTGGGGCTGCGGCTGGTCGTTCCAAAAAGCGAGCACGACTGGGGTACCGTACTGAATGCCTGGGTTGGGATTCGGAAAAGATTGTTCGCGCCGTTCCACATCGTGTGTAGTATAACGCTTTACATATTGTGCTTTGCACGAACTTTGGCATGCGATTAAGGGCTCTAAACCAACGAGCAAATCCTTCCCGGTGATCATATCTCGCAGCCTAACTCTAAGTTAAAGTTAAGCTAATCAACCGCCAGTACCAAGCACAACGCAGAGCAAGAATGGAGCGGTTGCCACTGCAAGAATAAATCGGTTGTCGCTGCAAGAAAACAAACTGATAAGGTCCCCGATAGAATGGCGCCAACTCCTTGCATAATAGTAGGCACCGCTTCGGCGGGGACGTTTTCTTTCGCTCCCTTCGTCGGGGCCTTGCGCGTTAAACCAAGCTCGAATTTCAGAGCACGGCATATAGTAGCAGTAGAAAATTTCTATTAGAAATGTTTGGTAGTGCAGGAAACGCTGACTTTAAAGCTGCTTGCAGCTCCTCGATATAAAAACAGGGATGTTCTTCAATATTGTAGACGTAGTTTAGTACGATAGATCGCCAACGCATGTCAATCATCGACTAGAAAACAATCAGGCAAAGCGAGCGAGTTAGAATTAGAATGTAAGGGCCGTAGTATTGTCGGATTTACTCCAGCCATTCAACGAAAGTGAGCATAACTCAACGTGCTATTCTATCTTAAATCGACGAGTTAGCCTCCTAACTCAATGATGGGCTAATCACCGTGATTTGCTAAAACAACGAATTACGTCGTTGTTTAGACAGAAAGCATGCAAGGCACAATACATTTATCTCTGCGTTAAAACATGTAGAGAGGATTGACTTGCCATTCGCTGTGCTGTATCTCTTCATACGGTAGATAAAGGTCCCCCCGTACATACTTTTTTAACAAAACTTCTTCAACATTGAAAAGCTGCTTGTTGATCCTCGCTGTAACGAAGGCACGGCATCAACAAATTAATCAGATTTCTTGAGGAACAGCGGGATCCAGCGACTTTGCTTGCATGTTCGGTACACTGCATAGAATTACCAAAGCTTAATTCTCACGCTGGAAGCTGGGAACTTTCTGGGCTCCGGCGCTATCGCCTCTGAAATTGCAGTTGGAAATTTGCATACGGGGGATGTTGCCCAACGTTTGCCATAACTAGCGATCTGATTGTTAATCCCTTCCTTTTCAAGCACACAACGCTGCTAAATGCCTTTACATGCGCACCATGCGTTTTGTGTCTGGGATTACGTCCATACGAGAATGCCCGATGTCGTACCAAGAGAACAGTTGTGGAGATGCGTGTTGATAACTAGACTAGCCGAGCGCCGCCGCTACGCGGCGGTGAATTTTTTGTTAGTTGGCGCTTCCCGCTGCGCTATAAGAGCAGGCTACCTACGCTTCGCTACGGCAGTAGTGGACCCGTTCCGCTCGCCTCGTCGGCTCGCTGCACTACTCTCAATGTCAGGTTAGTATTACAGAGGCCGGGGCGGGCCCTGCAGCCCCGCAATATCGTATGACTCATACGCTCCGTCGTCGAAGGCGACCCCCTCATACTATGAGGGGNTCGCCTTCGGCGACGGAGCCGCCTTTGCGGCTGCGCTCGGCAGCAAATCGGACTTAGCGTGATCTACACGCTCTGATTGATTCTTAGGGGCTGGTCTAGTAGGCGAACTACTCGGTTTTGACTCTGTCTGCTTTTTGTCCAAAATGAACAAAAGCTAGCCAATTCTCCAAGAACCCGAGAGCTCAATCGCC